GAATGAGAGAGAGCACATGAGAGGGGTTAGGATCAGAGGGAGAAGCAGACTCCCTGCTCGGCAGGGAGCCCGATGTGGGACTCGATCCAGGGACTCCAGGATCATGACCTGAGCCGAAGGCAGTAGCTTAACTGACTGAGCCACCCAGGCGCCCTATCAGAGGCCTTTCTTACAACAGGCAAGTTACATATGTTAGCAATGATCCTCACTGCTACCCAGTGAGGGGGCCACTACAATTCCTGTCTTACAGACTGAGAAACGGAGACTCAGTGCTATGATAAGATTCATCCTAGGGCATATAGATTGTAAGGAGGTCTAACTGGCTCCAAAGTCAGCTGAGCTTTTTCCTTATGCTATGTTGTTGCTAGAATTGCCTGATTTTTGTTAGAATCAGTGCACACCACTGAGTTTATGATTTTTTTGACCTCATAGAGGAGAGTCCTCACCAGCTGTCCCAGTGTGGGAGGGGAGAGGGTGATGTCTCAGTGTCCATTCCTTCTCTCCAAAGACCTTTTGGCTCTGGTTTACTAATATTCTAAGTCAAACCTTCTCCTTCCCAACTTTGTTAAGCTGATATCCACAAATCCTTCTCCATCCAAATCACCTCTTCAGGGTCTTTCTCTTCAGTCAAGCCTCTTTACAACCGTGGAGGAGAGTAAGACTTATTACATGAGATTCAGGGGAGATCTTGTAACCTTCCTTCCCTTGTGGGTGAACTACAATATTTTTCTATGTTTCTATTGCCTTATTTTTTTTTTTCCATTGAGCTTAATTTTTACCAATTAAGGTTTAGCCAGAATTTGAACTTTTCTAACTTCCCTGGTTAGAAATGAATGTACAAACACAGGTTTTTTGTTTGTTTGTTTTGTTTTTGTTTTTTTGTAGCAACAACAAAGGCAATGTTTCTTTGGAAAATTAGTCCAGCAATGGCTTAACCTAAATTCAGTTTCACTGTTCCCCCCACTTTTTTCCTTAGTATTTAAAGAAATGGAGAGAACTTTTTTAAAGCTTTCCAAGTTGGTCAAAGTATTTTTTTTGAGTAAAAATTTTACTCTTGAGCAGTTTCTGTTCTTCCTAAAAGTTCTAATGGAAATATAATTAAAACTGCTGAGTTATAATAATATATGCCCCCAACTGTTCTTCAAGAAATATTGAGATTATTATAGTAGAGTTAGTAAAATTATATGAGAAAAATATATTTTCACACTTTATTATTTTCTATCCTTCTTAAAAAATGCATTGGCAAAACTCTATTTGATAATGGATAGAAATTGTTACATTCTAAGGTTATGAGTCATGAGAGGGAAATGTTGGAAACCAGAGATGGTAAAGATATTAAAATAGAGAGATTGAGGCAGTAGACCTCGGGTTTTAGGAATTAATTACTGTAGAACCAGAACCCAATTTGGGGTTTCCAGTAGGTGGATGGGGACGATTACATGCCTACTTTTATTGATTTGCTGTATGCTTGAGCAGCTGACTGTGGATGGGCCAAAGATATCACTCTTTGGGGTGTTCAGTTTCTGTTCCTTCTGCTGTTTCATGTAGAAATCATCCCAGTCTTCTCCCCTTTCTGGTCAAAGCTAATAGGAGCCAAAATTTGCATTTGAAAGTAAGTTTCAGACACATGATGCTTCATTCCTAGATATATACATGTATGATTATTTTGTTTAATAACAAATATCAAATATTCCTTTTTCTGACCCTTGACCCTTCTAGAGCTCTTGAGCTCAATAGTAGGACATAACCTCTTATCTCCATTCTCACACCTGGCTGCATCTCAAAAGGAGTTTTTTTTTTTTTTTTTT